TAGAAAATTTCATCGTGATCGGACTCTCCTTTCGAAAGTTATCGTGTAAACGGCCGGACGGCCGGCCGGCCGGACATACTGACCGATTCTAGAGTGTACTCACTTTTTGAGTACACAAAAACAATTAAATTTTGTGGTGTACTTGAAAAATCTTTCAATTCAAATCATTCAGATGAAAATACATGAACAAGAAAATAAATAACCAGGCCATTATCTATAACTACTAAAAAAGCGGATTTTCTAGAACCTTTTCTTCATTTCATAGCAAATCATGCTTCAACTCTGTAAAGTGAACACCTCCGTATAAGGAATACTTTTCAATGGTCCTAATGGTGTTCACAATAGAAAGGTTTTACTATATTCGATGATTTTATAAAACTAATTTATTTGTTATATAATGTGCTTTTGAGCGCGTAGTAGCCTTGTTTCACTCTTGATTTTTTGAAAATACAGGGTGTCCTAAAAGTCTCTTCCTAAAAGTTTTTTTAAAATTTTATTTCACTGTTGATTGGAGTTCATTGAGTAATTTCTTTTTCCATAATAGATCAATACATCAAATTTTGATTTCTAAAGACGACTTTCAACAGCATTGTTGAATGTTAAGACTTTTAGACGAAATACAAAAATTTAGCCTCTTTTGTCTTTCCAAAAATACTCATGAATGATGTATGTTTTAATCACTTGAACTTTGATTTGGTATTATTCATTTCGTTTTTGTAAAGACATACCAAAATAAAAATCTGTAAAACAATCGTTCAAACATTCGACAATTTAAAGGTTCGCATCACTCAAAAATTCGAAGTAATTGAAAAAGACATGTTATGCAATGTTCTTCTGGAAAAAGAAAACAGAACTAAATCTTTGTATTTTGACTAAAAGTCTTAGGTTTCAACAATGCTGTTGAAGTTTGTCTTTATAAATAAAAATTCTGTGTATTGATCTATTATCGAAAAAACAAATTTCTCAATGAAATCCAATCGACAGTGATATAAAACGAAAAAACATTTAGCAAGTGACTTCTAGAACACCCTGTATATATATATCTATATATTTTTAAGAAAATAATTTATTTCATTTTGACAGTAAGGAAAATTTTTCATTTCAGTGGCAAATTCTGCATTTCTACTCATGACCATGTCGAATGTGTTATTATACTAAGCATTATTTGAATCAAACTGTCATTTTTGTACAGTTCATATAAGGTTTTAAACTTGAACAATTATAGATCAGCTCATGAGTAATCAAAAATAAGAAAAACATTCTTATGTGTCTCTCTTAAAAATGACGTCTATTTTCATATGAATGATAGAATTCATAAAGTTCAACTCTATGAGTCTGTTTTATGTTTAGGCCATTCCAATCGTTTACGTCATTTACAATACAATTAAACTCTATTACTTTATCTTAATCTTTAGTGTCTTGTATTACTTGTTCAAGTATTAGTATTTTCTAACTGAATGAATGTGGTTCAGGAATAATTGATTCACGTGAAAAATATCTTGTTGATGCTGCTAGTAATTTAACTAATAAACCATGTTCTATTATAACAATTTATGCTCAGGATATTCATCATTTAAAGATTTTTGAATAATCTGATAAAACATCTTGTTGTAATTAACAATGAAATGAAATATTCAAACAAAATAAGATTTCCTTTTTTTTTTGTTTTCCTGTATTTCATAAAATTAGAAAAAAAATTTCAGATTAAAATAAAATAAAACGAAAAGTTCATATTAAGTTTTAAATTTGTTGTCGTAAATAAAACTTCGAAAACAATAAATAGTTCAACAATAAATCCTTCATGATTAAGATCAAATTCATTAAAATCTTTCATTAGTTATCTTCATATATAGAATTCGAAGGTTTCAAAAAACTGAAGTCGACTTTTTTTAATTTCTTAGAACTTGAACTGTTAAATCATCAGATAAATAGAAAAATTCTTAAATCAATATCGTTGTTTTTTTCATTTTTGATATTAAAGATTTCGGTATACATACATAATACCGTTGTGTTTAAGTACTGAAATATATGGTGTCTTTATCTTCAATCATTATTCAATAGTCAAATTCCGTCAAAAGAACATTAAAAAGTTTTGTATTTATCTGATGATTTAATGGGTTCGATTCCATGTTATGTGTTGCGAATTGAACCAGAACTGCGGTTCGGGCTTCGGGTAATATTTGAAACCGTGAAAGTCTATTCATATGTGAATAATTATATTTGAGCATTAATTGAAATTAACATTTATCGAATAATCATACATTAATTGATTACGAATTACAACATATATTTAACCATTGTTGAATACGTTTATTTGATTCTGATTTTTGTATTATGTTAATGTTTACAAATGATTACCATTTATTAATTGAAAAACAATTAAATGAAAATAATTTATCATCATTATCAATAGAAAAAAAAATCGTTTAAAACAACGTTTTATTCAAGATTTATTATCCAATAGGACACATTGTTCAATTGATAAAAATATTTTAAAGAATGAATTTCAATTTAATTCAAATCATATTCATTTACTTATACAATTAGATTTACCTTTATCAAAATAAATCGATCAATATAAGGTTTTCAATACCAAACTTAGAACATGCTATTGAAATACCTACACGTTCTATTAGTAAAATAGGACCAGAGACACTTGAGAAAAAAACGTTACTATCTGTATATAGATCTTTTTATTGTATTGTTTAAATCTGCATTCACCAAACACAATATAAGGTAAATATATATGATGTCTATTTTGCCAATGTCTCCTGTTCTCGACGATAGAAAACGTGTTGGATTTTCCTTTCAAGTTTAATAAAACAAAAAAAAAAGATTAGGTAATATTATACTTCATAACACATGTTATTTATATTCTATATTGATTATTCTATTGCGGTCACTTGCATATCTCCCCGAACTGTTTTTTATTGGTAGAAATAAACCTCTGGAAAATGAACACTTTAGAAAGATTCCTTATGTGTCCTATTTCGAGACTTTATAGTGTAGAATCTTAATCAGATGTTTTGCGACTCTTCTTTGCTTTAAGTCAGGGGCAAAGTTAAACAAGCGCTACGTTTCATTTTACTTTCTTCAATTAATTAATTATATATTATTATATCGAGAATACATTTATATCAAATTTTGTTTTGACTTTTAGAAAAAATACGAACTCAATATTCTAACTTCATGGGTTTGATCTGACAACCTTTTCTGCTTTCAATCGTTGATCTCTTATTGAATAGAGCAAATAAACATGTTTTTTTAGTTCGTCAACATTTATATTATATTAAGAAAAAACAAAGGCAAAAACTACATGATGACATCGAAGCAAAAAAAGAAAAAGGATAAGGTAAGATGATTCAATGAAGAAGAAGCATTTAAAAAGAAACCAAGCGAAAAAAATAAACTAGATTTCACCAAATACCGAAATATTTCTTTCATGTTGGAACCACCGTAGTTTTTGGATCTTCCATTTTCACATGTCTATGTTGATTTTTTAATAGGAAATTGACGAGCTGTATGTTTTATATGATGATGTAAGGCTACTTCATTAAAGATTTTGAGCTAAAAATAAATGAATACAATTTAATTATGATATCTATAAAATGAAAATATTCATTCGAACAAATACTTACCAAGGAATTGGCGAAATTCTCCTTGATCAAGGGAGCCATTAAGATTGGTATCAGCATTAAGGAAAGCAGCATCACCTCCGCTAATACCACCACCGACAAGGCCTGATGATCCCCATGATCCACCATAACCACCACCACCAACGAGACCACCTTCCCAACCGCCAGCACCACCTGATGAGAAGCTTGATGATTCGAATGATGATGAACTGAGTCCACCACCAAGAGCAAGACCACTATCAACAACTTCAACACCTCCGGTTGCAAGAGCACCACCACCTACTAAGCCTGATGAGGCACTCCATGATTCTTGACCAATTGCAGCACCACTATAACCAACAAAACCAGGGGCTGACTATAAACAGAAAAAAATGGTATTTAAGAATAAAAAAAGAATACTATGATGAACGTACGATGTCTTCAACAACACCAGCAGCACGAGCTTGTGAAAGAAGTGCAGCGGCATCAAGAAGTTGAGCACCATATGTTTGAACATAGGCAGCTGGACTAGCTGCAACAACACCGAGGCGTTGGAATTGACGAACAATGCGAGCTGGAGCTTGTTCGTATTGGATGATAACATTGCGTGGAGCTGGGTATTGAATAGCAGCACCAGCACGTTGAAGAATGGTGCGTCGTTTAGCTTGAGCTCCATATGGAACCCAACGTTCGATGATGATGTCACCTAAAATCAATAATTACTCTGATAAAAACATAAGAAAAAAGGAAAGAAACCACTAACGTGGTCGTGGTGGAGCAGCTGGGAGACGTTCGATGATGACTGATCGTGGTGGAACTGGGATAGCAGCCAAACGACGAACGACAGTTTGTGATGCAACAACTGGAGGTGGTACTGGTGGTCGTTCACGGAGAACGAGTGGTGGTGGTGTTGGAAGAGGTGGAGCTACTTGACGAAGACGAAGTGGGGGTGGTACAGGTGGTTGAGGTGGTCGGACTTCTCTGATGATGAGTGGCTGGAAGAAAACAAAAGAAAATTAGATATTATGATACAGATCATGGTGAATGATAGAAATCACTTACGCCTGGAGGTGGGACTGGTGGTGGTTGAAGGAAGCGAACTCGGATGTTTTGTGTATATGTTTGTACACCACCGGGAGCTGGACGACGGATGATTTGTGGGTTTGGATCTTGAAAGAGACCTTGAGCATCAGTAGCATAGTGGACTTGAGAGGCTGCAACGGCTGATGAATCAAAGGCTGCTCCACCAGCAACGATAGCAGCATCACCAGCATATCCAGCACTGCCTGCGATTGATTCGTAGCTAGCGGCACCACCGGCAAGACCACCACCAACAGCGTATGATGCATCATAAGCACCACCAAAAGCAGCACCTGATGCTCCTGTTTCGAAGGATGATGATTCACTCCAACCAGCACCACCGCCTAAACCAGCACCAGCACCGTATGATGATGATTCCCATGATGAACCGGCACCATAGCCAGCACCAGCACCAAGGTTCTGACCTGCAAAAAAAGCAATAATTATCATTAATAAATACACTCACAATAATTAAACAAATATTAACTTACCGAGGAAGTTACGGAATTCACCGAGATCAACACGTCCATCCTTGTTAAGATCGACTTGATTGAAGACAGCGTCGGAAGCCATGATCGCACGTGTAGTGTTAATGTGAATAGAGTACTTACTGGTAAAAGTGAGAAGTGAAGAAAATCTGCCGGAGGATCAATGTTTATATAGGCCCAGTCGACCACGCATGGATAGAGATGAAACAGATGGAGAGAGAGAGAAAAACGATTGTATATTTGCGCTCGAATGCTTTTTGAGCTTGCTTGTCAAGGTCGTTTTTTTGTATAAGAAACAATGGTTCGTACACGAAAAAAAAGCGACAAGCTAAAAGAGAGAGATATTGTAGGGAAAAAAAGAGAATAGAACGGTAAAATGTGAGTATCCAACCGCAAGCCTTCAATAATTACTATCATTAGGAGAACAGATTGATTGGTGGCTTGTGGTTGCTTGAGACGAGGACAGGGATTAAATTTTTTTTTCGTTGCCCGTGATCGCCGACGGTACCTGTGGACAAGCATCTATAAGCATATTTTTCTCCCCAAGTTATTTTCGAAAAAATAGCACAACAAGATAATACGTCAACCGTGGGCTATAACATGCCTACATTTTCCCTACATGTGCTCTCCTGCAGCGTATCGGAATTAGTTTTTCTTTATTTGAGCCAATCATTCATCTAAATATAGAATTGATGACACTGGTTACAAACGTCATATTTATTTTTCTGTAGATTATTTTGATGAAAGGGATAGAGCAAATTTCCAAGCAATTCTGCTTTACATGATTAAACGCAGTGTTCTATGTTGTCGAACGGTTACCGATGTTACATAATATTATAAACGTTTGAAAACAAATTCCAAACGGGTGTTCAAGTATTCTTTATCGAATTATGTAGAAATGAATGCATCTCAATATGTGAAACAGCTCATATAACTGAATTACGATCGAAAATTCTGGTCAATAGATATTTGTGTGGCTCCTTCTAAAGTTCTCTAACTTCGTCATTTCACTCGGTTACTTTCTAAAAGTGATAATATGGAGATCTAATTTTAAATGCTTTACTTAAATATGACCTTGAAGAAGAAAAAAAAACGTCTGTTTTTTTGTAGTAAATTTATTATTGAATAGTGAAAAGTTATATTTTTTTAATCATCTTTTTATAGTTTTGATGTGCTGTGTGTCGTTTTTTATTTTCATCCAGCGCTATTAATGTTTCATGTCATACAGAACATACAAATATCTATAGTCAACATTTCTTAGGCAGTTGAGATCCTATGCGTATTGACGAGAATAGCTGAAAATCCTTTTACTATAAAAGCTAATGATATTGAAAAACAGTAAGCGGGGTGAAATCATTTCTCATATAAAAGTTTCCCTTTTTTATAAAAAAGGAAAAAGTTTCACATATTGATAATAAATCAATCATACTTTGATATACTTAAATGTATTTTTTTTTGTCTTCAAATACACAATATAATATAGAGAAAACATTTATTGTATGTAGTAGGCATCGACAACGATGCAAAACATGCAAGAACGATGAAAATATGATAAAAAAGTTTGGCTATAATTTGGTCGCGAAATCAAAATGTTAAAGAAGACGTCGAAATTGATAAGTATCGAAACGAATAAATACTGAAAAGTTCTTTAGAAAATTTTGACTAACAAAATACACTTTTTATTTGTGCTATGATGCTAATTTCTTAACAGAGATCATACACAAGTCAAAGATTTATAAAAAAAAAAAAAAACAACAGTCATTTTTCTTGTTTCGTAATCAGAAATGATAAACCATGTAAAGATTTCATAGTGTACAGAACAACAATAAACTCGATACACACTTATTTTTTGCGATATTTTCATTTTAAACTAAACCATACTATTGCATCAGAAAAATATCACTTTTCATAATTAAATGTTAATTTTACACCAAAACAAGAGAATTTTTTGTTGTCTTCAAGGACATATTTGAATAAAACATGCAAAATTAGATCTAATGATATCACCTTTAGAGCGTCAATGGATGACATGACGCAGTTTATATAATGTGCATAGTACAAAAATTGAATGGATTTTTTTGCCCTCACCTTTATCTGTCCTTCAATAGAACACGAAAAGCTGGTCAGAGATAGATTATTTTGAAATCGATTGATTCATATTTGCAAAAAATAAAAAAACAAATGATGGGAAAATTATGAAAAATAGTTAAAAAAACAAACGAATTTTCGTTAGAAATTTTCAAGTTTTTTTGTTATTTAGATTTTAGTCATTTTTTAGAAGGACGTTTTTCTAATTCAGTATTAAAAATTGTATTTGAATGAGCTCACACAGAAAGTGTTGTCGAACATGGATATATCCAACAAAACTACCCAATCATGTTGTTTTTTTGTAGTGTCTATTTACAATTTTGTAACCCTTTCTAAGCATTTTCTCTGAAGAGATAAGACGATGTGTCATATCTAATTATAATCACTAGATATTGACCTTCAAACATACTTTATTTGTTTCTCCAGATATTGTTTTATCACATTGCTTCGTTTTCGTCCTACGTATACGCTAAGAACGTAAAAAAAAAGTGCACGTAGTTACTTAATGTTATCCTTGTTTTTTCGTATTTTTAAAAAAAAATCGAAATAATCTTCCGAATCACATATCTTTTATTAAAGAAAAAATTCTAATGATATGATGCCTGTGTTCCTCTTCAGATATACATTTTTTTGAAAATTTTCGCTTAAGTTCGTCGACGAGATAATTTTTGATGCTAAATGTTTGCGATTAAAAACGATATATGATTCATTATAGGTTTCAACGTTAATTTTGAATAATTTTCTGTTTTTTTTATATCACTAAAAACTAAGGGCGAAATTAAGTAAATATGTGCATATTTTTTCAGGATTTTCACTTATAAATAGGAAGAAATCAAAACCACATGATAAAATAATGTCTAGAAAAACTAATCAAAGACGTTTGAAGGTCAATACCTATTGATTATAATGAGATATGACACATGGTCTTATCCCTTACCACAAAATACCTAAAAATTGTCTATAGATACTACAAAAAAACAACGTGTTTGGGTAGTTCTTGTTCGATAGATCAAAGTTGGACAACACTTCTTTTGTGATTTCATTCAAATAAAAAATTTTAATACTTAATTAGGAAAAAGTTCTTTTAATAAATTATTAAAATATAAGTAATAGAAAAATTGAAAATTTCTAACGAAAATTCGGTTTTTTTAGCTGTTTTTAATATTTTTTTTATTCGTCGTTTTTTTTCTTTCCCTAAAGCATGAATCAATCGATTTAAAAATAGTCTATCTCTATTTAGCTTTTCGTATTCTATCGAAGAATACATAAAGGTGAGAGAAAAAGAATCTATTCGATTTTTGCATTATGCGCACCTTAATTTCAGAAGGAACTACATGCACATCAATAGACGAGAGTTTTTTCTCGTCATTTCGTTCTATGAGCTGTTTCACATATTGAGATGCCTTCATTTCTGCATAGTTCGATAAAGAATACGTGAACATTTATTTAGACCTTGTTTTACGTGTTCAAAACATTATTTAACGCTGGCAACATGTTTAAAACAAGGGTCACGTGCTTTTTTATCCACCATAAAATTTCTTGGGCTTTGCTCTCCTTCTTCATTAAAATGGTTTAGACGAAAAATATATGTTCATATGAATGAGAGAAGAATTTGACAAAATCTTGTACATTATTTAACTAGAAAAACAATTATTAGATTGAAGACAATTTTGTTCAGTTTTACTAATTAACAAAAGTTCGACTTTATGAATTCCTTTTTATGTTCAAGTTATTCGAATCTTTTACATCATTTACAATACAATCAAACTCTTTTATCTTATTATAATCTATAGTGTCTTGTATTACTTGTTCATAAATAAATTCAATTACAAACTTTTTTCGTGCTGTATTTACTTGTTTGAGTATTGGTATTCTCTAACTGAATGAATTTGGTCTAGTCATAATTGATCCACGTGAAAAAAATCTTGTTGATGCTGCTAGTAATTTAACAAATGAACCATGTTCTATTATAGCTACTAATTTATGCTCAGGATATTCATTGTTTAAAGATTTTTGAACAATCTGATAAAACATCTTCTCGTAATCAACAATGAAATAAAATATCCGAACAAAATAAGATTTGTCTTTTGGTTTGTTTTCCAATATTTCATAAAACTAAAATAAATTCTTTTTTTGTCAAACTTAAAATAAAATACAATGAAATATTCATATTTATTTTTAAATCGATATTTAACAAAACGTTTAAAAATAATAAATGATTCGTGAAAAAATCCTTCATTATTAACATCAAATTCATTAAAATATTTTATTGAAAAATAAAAAAAAAATTTGCTTCATTATCGTCTTACGTTACTAATTAACTAGATTTTAATATCGATTATATTCCTTTATATTAAATGATCGTACATTAATTAAATGAAAATAATTTATCATCATTATTAATATAAAAAAATTCATTTAAAATAACATTTTATGCAAGACTTATTATTAAATAATATATGTTTATTAATCGATAAAAATATTTTAGAAAATGAATTCCAATTGAATTCAAATCATATTCATTTACTTATATAAATAGGTTTACTGTTACCAAAATAAATTGATCAATATCGGTTTTCAATACCAACTTCAGTATCATTTATAAAATGTTTAGACAAAGACTGACGTTTACTTTTACAAATATTATCGAAACGAACATATCGAGAAATACCAATGAATGAATGTCAATTAAGAGATACGAAAAAAACAATTTGATTTCAATTTGATTTTCATATTATAATTTTATTGCGGCAAATCTACCACATCTTACTGATATATCTCCAGGTTCTATTTTAAAAATGGAATCAGAAAAAGTTAAGATAACAAATGGTCGTATCTGTATTTAGGGCTCTTTTTAGTTATGCTATTTGCATCCATGTTTACAAAATAAAATATAATGTAAACATACATGATTACTATTTTCATACCATCTTCTGTATTCAATCAGACGAAAAGTTATCTTTTTTCTTTAAGTTTGATTAAAAAAAAACTAAATAATATCATAGTTCATCACACGTACTGTTGATAATATATATTGATTACATCTTTGTGAACCTTGCATATGAGATAGATGATTACAATCATAACTCAATGTTTTTTTGGGTCTCCTTCGCCTTGACGCAGTGCCGTGAAGTTCAATCATGCGCTACATTTCATCTTACTTTCTTCAATCTATCAATAATATATTATTATACTGAAAAAATTTTTATACTAAATAGTCTCCTAGCTTATAGTAAATACACGTGTTCAAAATTTTAACTCCATATATTTGCACTAGAAAATCTTTATCTTTCAATTCGTTATTACTTACTGAATAGAGGAAATAAACATATTTTTTTTTTGTTCGTCAAACTTTATATGATATTAAAATTAAGACAAATCAAAGGCAAAAAACTACAGGATAATATTGAAGTAATACAGAAAAAGAAACGAAAGCCTTACATAATTCAAATAGAGATAAGCAATTATAAGAAAAATAAAGCAAAGAGAATAAAAAACTAGATTTAGCCAAGTGCAAAAACATTCCGTTCAAGTTATATCCATTATAGTTTTTGAATCTTTGATTTTTTGATTTGCTACTTAAAGTTTTTAATAGGAATATGATGAGCTGTATGATTCGTATGCTCCACCACCAGCTCCTGCAGCATTTTGACCTACAAATAGATGAATGCAATTTAATTATGATACCTATAAATTGATAATATTCATTGGAACAAATATTTACCAAGGAATTGACGGAATTCTCCTTGATCAAGGGCGCCACTAAAGTTGGTATCAGCAGCAAGGAAAGCAGCATTAGCTCCACCAGCACCACCACCTACTGATAAGCCTGATGATTCGAATGATGATGCTCCATAACCACCACCATAACCACCACCATAACCACCACCATAACCACCACCAAGACCACCAGCAACAAAACCGCCTTCGAGACCACCAGCACCACCTGATGAGAAGCTTGATGATTCAAATGATGATGAACCGAGTCCACCACCAAAAGCAAGACCAGCATCGACAACTTCAGCACCTCCACCAACAAGGCCAACGCCACCACCAACAAGACCAATGCCACCAGCACCACCAGCTAAACCTGCTGAGGCACCGAATGATTCTTGACCATATGTGGCAGCACTGTAACCAACAAAACCAGGAGCTGACTATAAACAGAAAAAGATGATTCACTTAACAGAAGAAAAACAAGAATACTATGATAAACATACGATATCTTCAACAACACCAGCAGCACGAGCATGTGAAAGAAGTGTAGCAGCATCAAGAAGTTGAGCACCATATGTTTGAACATAGGCAGCTGGACTAGCTGCAACAACACCGAGGCGTTGGAATTGACGAACAATGCGAACTTGAGCTGGCTCGTATTGGATGATAACGTTGCGTGGAGCTTGGTATGCTTGAGCAGCAGCAGCACGTTGAACAATGGTGCGTCGTTTAGCGTGAGGTCCATATGGAATCCAACGTTCAATGATGACGTCACCTAATGTCAGTGATTAATATGATAAAAACAGAAGAAGAAAAAAAGAAAATAAACTACTAACGTGGTTTTGGTGGAGCGGGTGGAAGACGTTCGATGATGACTGATCGTGGTGGAACTGGTAAAGCAGCCAAACGACGAATGACAGTTTGTGATGCAATAACTGGTGGTGGTACTGGTGGTCGTTCACGGAGAACGAGTGGTGGTGGAGGAGGAAGAGATGGAGCTACTTGACGAATACGAAGTGGGGGTGGTACAGGTGGTTGAGGTGGGCGCACTTCCCTGATGATGAGTGGCTGGAAGAAAACAAAAGAAAATTATATATTATAGATATAGATCATGATCAATGATAGAAATCCCTTACGCCTGGGGCTGGAACTGGTGGTGGTTGAAGGAAGCGAACTCGGATGTTTTGTGTGTATGTTTGTACACCGGAAGGAGCTGGACGACGAATGATTTGTGGGTTTGGATCTTGGAAGAGACCTTGAGCATCAGTAGCGTAGTGAACATGACCAGCTGCTGATGATGAATCAAAGGCTGCTCCACCAGCAAATCCAGCGCCGCCTGCGATTGATTCGTAACTAGTGGCACCACCGGCAAGACCGCCAGCGAGACCACCACCAACAGCGTATGATGCATCATAGCCACCACCAAGAGCAGCACCTGATGATTCAAATGACGATGACTCGAAGCTTGAAGCACCAGCGCCCAAACCAGCAGAAGCACCCCAACCAGCACCACCGCCTAAACCAGCACCAGCACCCCAACCAGCACCACCGCCTAAACCAGCACCACCACCGTATGCTGATGATGATTCCCATGATGAACCAGCACCGTAGCCAGCACCAGCACCGTAGCCAGCACCAGCACCAGCACCAAGGTTTTGACCTGCAAAAAGTAATAATGATCATTAATAAATACACTCACAATAATTAAACAAATATTAACTTACCGAGGAAACTACGGAATTCACCGAGATCAACACGTCCATCTCTGTTAGCATCGACTTGGTTGAAGACAGTATCGGCAGCACCGCCGGCACCTCCTCCTGATGAGTAGGATGATTGGTATGAATAGCCAGCCATAGCGTTTGTTTTACTGTTGATGTGAATAGAGTACTTACTGGTGAGAGTGAGAAGTGAAGAAATACTGATGATGGATCAATGCTTATATAGGCCCAGTCGATCATGCATGGATAGAGATGAAACAGAAGCGGAGGAAGAGAGAAACGGCAGTATGTTTTCGGTCGAACGCCTTTCGATCTTGCTTGTCATGGTCGTTTTTTTGCACATGAAACAATGATTAGTTCACGAAAAAAAAATTAAACGTAAAAGCAGAGAGAGAGAGAGAGAGATACTGTAAGGGAAAAAGAGAATAGAAAGACGCAGTATGACTACCCAACCACAAGCCTTCAAATATTACTATCAGTACGAAAACAGATCGATCTGTGGCTTGTGGCCTGTGTCGTTACCTTGTGAAACGACTAGGTAAACACCGTTAATATCCAATGGGAAAAGGACAGGTAGAGAAAAAATGAGTGAGAGAGAGAGAGAGAGAGAGAGAGAGGAAAAAATTATTTACTCTAAAATCGTTAGATAATCGCACGTCATAATCGCTCTTCATCAATTACAATATACATACATTAATGTTTATCTTATGTCAATCAATAATAATAGAATATTCTTTAACTTTTATTGAAATTGAAGTATTTCTATTGAAATTTTATATTCACTAAAAACTTTGATTTACATTCAAAAACAAAAGAAATGCTTGAAATTTTCTCATTAAAACAGTTTTTTTAATGCATCGATTGGATGAATATTTAAACATTGGACAGGTGATTGACTTTATTGAAATTTTTTCTTGTACGTTCTCATTATTTTATACAATCATTCACTTGGTTTTTCAATCTGATAGAGAATACTTATGACTAATTTCTTCTAGGTTATTAATTTCACCTAGCCAATGAAGGCTATAGTGCTATCGTCAATATTAGACAAGGTTGATATGTTCTTAAATAAGAGCTAGTTTTTTTTATTAAATAGGTTGACCGTGAAAGGAGAAAAATGAAGCAAAAAACATTGTCACTGCATGAACGCACACGCACAAGTATATTTTACATTAGTTAAAACGTAGCTCATTATAATAATTTAGTAGACTAACAATACTAGTCTGATCGGTTTTCGTCGTACGCACAACACGTTGACGATCAGCACGTTCAAAATTTGATCGAACAAGTTCATAATATTCACCATCAGCTAATACTAATGAATGAAGTTTTGTACAACGAATTCTAAAAAAAATACAACATTTATAACAATAAGCAAAAGAAAACAGAAAAAAAAGCATTAATAGAAATCTACCGAATATGATCAATAAATTTTGAACTATTTTCATTCCATCTTAATGTTTCTTCATCCCATTGAATTTCTAACCGCTCAAGTTTTTGACATTCTAATGCACATGCTTCTAAGATTTGATCAACATGGATACGTGTATTAATCTTTTTAAACCAGCCATGAGATGTACCAGTTACCAAAATTCTTTAAATAGATAAACAAAAAAAAACAAGGAGCAATAAAAGAGGACTTCTTCATTTCTTATTGTATTTCTGTATAAAAAATTGACTCGAGTTATACTATATAAAATTATCCAGTAGATTATTTTCTAATAAATTACGATGAAACATTTGCATATGTCAAATTAATAGTGTCACTTAATCAAAATTTCGAAAATAAAAACATTGATAAATATGGTATTATGAACTCAAACAACATTTTAGAACATCGAACCATAAAATTTACTTTAACAATGTACTTTTCTTCTATGTAAGTACATCTTCTATTCAATTGTAAATAACATAATCTTTGTCTGATCCAGAAAAAGCATACCATAGAATGATTTGCACTGCTTATTTTTCTAATTACTAATCAAGACTACTATATAGAATGAATTGAATGATAATATTGTAATGTTAAGATAATCTTTTATGAAGTATTGTAGTATAAACTATATTCATTCTTTTTTAATTATCTGTGTGTTTATTATTTTCAATGCACGCCTAAATCAAATATTGAATCATTAATTTTGTTGTCACCTGAATATTGTTTTTTTCCCTGTATTGCTTTGACAAACGAAATACCTTATATTTTTCAGGTGTCTTATTGCATTTATCCAAAATTGTTCTGTTATTTTTGAATTACCAGCATAAGATAAACCACGTAATTGTCGACCATGACGTTTAAGTAAAACGAAAACAGTTTCAAAATTTAAATTCACTGTGTTACTTAGATCGATAGCACGTACATTTGTTAGTTTACCTTGATCAATTAGCTGATTAAGAACCTTGAATAAAGAAAAAAACAAGAAAAAAAACCACATGAGAAAAACACAATGTTAGGCTGTACATCTACCTGATCTGTAAAACCGTCACAATTAGGTACTGCTAAATAATTGAATTTTGACATTCGTGCAAACATGTTTAAAAGACAGTTTTCAGTTAATTCAGTTGATGATATATCAAGTTCATTAATAGATGATGATTCCCATTCAGCTGCTAACATTCCATTATCTTCAATACCTTTTTATTTGTTTATTTAAAAGAATAAAAAAACAACATATTAACGTATGTTTAATATTATTCGTGTTTTTTTTTGTAATGATAAATACCAGTATTTTGAAGAAGAAGACTTTGCAGCTTTTTACAACGTTGTAATAAATTCTTAAAACTTGAACCTTTGACACGAGTACAAAAATTTAATGCAAGACATTCAAGATGAATACAACCCGATGCTATTATTTCAATATGATTATCATCAACAAAAAATATACCATACAAATTTATAACCTATAATTTATGATTTACATATTAAATTTTTATTCGAAAATAAATTCACTCGAAGATTTGGCGTTTGTGCTTTTATTTTACTAATATTAATTGTTTCATAGACTTCTTCTTCAGCTTCATTGGATTTTTCAATAGTACCTTTAACAAAAAATAATTTCTTATTTTATATAATTTTTTTTAACATACCAATAATTTGTAAAGTTTCTAATGAGGATAAATATGCATAAATACGTCTCATAAAACCTTCAAGGAAAATAACTTCAGATAAGCAAATACAAAGCATTTTGAGATTGCATGGAAACGCATTTAAATCATTAAAATCATGTAATTGCATAGCTGTTGAAAAATCTAATGTTAAATATTTTAAATTTGGACATTTATTAGCTAATTCATGTAAAACATCAGCTGTTATTAATTCCATAGGTAATTCAATATATTGTAATGATAATGAAAAACGATGACCAATTAAATTAAGAAATTGATCAAGATTTCTTACATGTAAACCATGATGATCTGGCCGAAGAAAAACAGTTTTCCATAATTTTGAGTTTTGACTTAAAGCACGCCATAAACGACAAACACGTGCACAGCGTAATAATTCGGCATGTGGTAAATAAGAAAATATCGCAAGTAAAACCTTTTCTGGTAATGCATTAAAATCGCGCTAGAATAAAATAGAAAAAATACAAACATCATAATACACAACACATATTTTTGTTTATTATATTATTTCTATCACTTTAGTTGATCTTTTCGACATCGATGATTGATTTTCCATTGTCGCAAAGTTTGTCACTTATTCCTACCTCAATTGTGTATATATATAAAGCAACGGAAAGAGGAAAAAAACAAAGTGTTAACGGCGTTTGTTAGTGCACATAACACATACGATGACTGTCGGTAGTTGCTTGTTGTTGTCGGATATATTCTTTTTCGGATAATTATCGCATACAGAGATACATAGGATAGAATGAGATCGGTATGGGTACAAAAATAAGAATAAAAAGAATTCGACAAGAATAAATTACCTGCGTGTCGCGTATTGGCACGCAGCTGGCTGGTTTCTTAGAATGCTGACTCGTGCTGCTATCCATTTCACAGTCAACTGCAGCTACTAATGATGATATCATTTGCTCTTCTAGTTATATTTTAGTTCTTTTACTTTTCTTCCACGAAACACAGATGGCATTTCTGTTGCTTGGCTTTTTTCCATCTATTTGTCCTTTACGTCTTTCAATTTCTTTTGTTTTATATACGTTTTTTGTTTAAGCACATGAAACCCATTAGTATTATGTACAGATAATTATTTTTTACTATACTCATACAATTGCAATTTGCGATAAGAAGGCCTTTTTTTTTGGCTTAATGATATAAGTTGTCTGATTCTTCTATGACGCAGGCAATTTTTTTCTACAACAAGTCGCGTACTAATACATACACAACCATTTATTGCCGTTTCCTTGACTTTATTACTCCAGAACAGACAGTACACGTCCATCATAAGAGAAAAAAATGGATGGATTTATAATAAGATATTCGCTCTTATATCTTCTTGAAGCGAAAAAAACCCAAATATTTATCTAGGACATATTATAGTTGCTTTTTTTTGTACAAGAAACAATACATTTTCAGTATTAAATATTATGTCTAAAGATTTAAGCAAATAGTTTTATTTTATTTTGTTGAATTTTTATATTGAAGAAATTCGATCAACAGTACAAGACTAAACATGATTTTCTTTTCTTTTCTTTTTCATATCACCAAAATCAATGTCACTAACATGTCAAAAAACAATCAACTATATATATATATATATATCATTACAATAACAATATTTTTTAGAATAAAGATATTCAGCTCACTCTCAATCGACGTCGAGAACGTTGATGTGTAATGTATCCATGTTCTTGACTAATACAGTCATCGTTTTCGCCATCAGCAACTATGTGATCTAATGCTTCTTGGGCAACAACAGAGAAGGTGGATGTTGGATTTGACATAGTAAGACGTCGCGATTCTGTCATCAATTTTTTTTTTCTCTCTTTTTACAGTAAATCAATATTAATCCATCATTTGTTTATATCGCTACAATACCCATTTGATGGTTTATATAGTGAAAGACTATTAAGACAGTGTAAGAAAAAAAATGATAGAATAGAACAGAAAGAAAAACAAACACATGAGATTCTTCTCTAGTTTCATCCATTTTTTTTCCTTGTTCATGATAAGATCATAGATAGCTTATACACTATCATAGAAAAATATAATGTCTCACAAACAAGTAATCTCTTATATGCATACCGAGTGTACAATATATCACATGCATGTTGACAGAAATTTCAGGCACTTCATCAACATATGTCGCGTTGACAAATCGAAGGAATATTATGAATATTTAGAGTAACCAGCAAATTATCGATATTCAGGCCAAAAAACAAAAACGAAAATTCAAAGGCAATATTTTAGTTTTTATTTAAATCTTTTAATATATATATCAAAAAATAAGACGCAATTGAAACTTAGTTGATGCTGATAAAATGCGTGAATGAAAATCAAATTAATATGTTTAAAACTAAGATTTAAAAAAAAATTATTTATTAACGAAAAGAATCAATTATCTATTATAATTAGTTGATCAAGTATCATACAATATCAATGATCCTTAATAAAAAGGAACTGTATACTTCATTTGTTATTCATGATAATCAAAATTCTTGCATTAGGAAAATGTATAAGTATCGAATGCATTCTTTTAAAAAAAAATTTTAGTTTATAATAAGATGTAATTTTAATCGAATGAGTATAACGATAATCAATAATGTAGGAAAAGAAAGAACACAATTCCTGTGAGACATTTTGATTTTTCTATCACAATAAAATCAAAATCTATTACTGCAGAAAGTAGCATGCTATATACAAATCTTCATATATAATTCACAGAAGTTGTTGATTGGCTTATTAAGATAAAATCCCTGTTTTTTAACAAAAAGATAATCAAATAGACAGCGTTTATAACTATGAATCTATGTCACTCGTGTTATGATTGTAAAGTTAAATATTGTCATTTGTGAATAAATGTTCATCAAGTTTAACCGTAAGAATCTCAGAATCGACGAACTTCTTATAACTTTTTTTTTGCAGAAACAATGCTTTTTCGTGTGCGTTTGTTTGATTATTAAGAGATTTAACCCCTTGACTGTTTGATTTAGACAGAATTGTAGATGATAGCGAACAAACTGATCCAATCCGAGAAAGAATATCTTATTCATAAATACAACGTTTTCTTTGTCGGTCGATCTGAGTTCTTTTTCTTTATATATTTAAAAAACAGAATCGATCGCAAAAGTGAGTTTTCTTCATGAGTCAGGCACTTTTGAACGATAAATAAGTCTATTACTATGAGAAAAACATGTGTGTGGTTCTTATATTCAGTGATATTATCATAGTATACGTAATACGTATTTTAGCAATTCTTACTGATACAAACTTATGTTATCATAACTTTATTAAAGAATGAGATATTATGATAATTCATCATTAATTTCTTTGTATTTGCTACTATTTATAGTCTCTATGACGAACATCCATGAAAGACAAAAAACATATTAAAACATATGGTAAGCAGTTGACATATACAGTTTCAATCATGCACATGTCTAACGTACACATTCAATCAGCATTCATTGTTAATGCAGAATTTATAGTCTAATAGTGTTTTCTGGTCACTGATAAGTGCCGAGAGTGATAATACAGAACTGAAAGTCAATAGTAAAAGAATACTGTCGAGTCCGAATAAGATCCAGTATATCATTAATGCAGCAATTTAGAGATCGTTATTACTTGTAATCAAGCAGTTAAAGTGACTATTATGTATAGGATTAGAAAAGTAACAAATGACACATGTTAATCTATCATTCGATTTGACTGTTTAGGTTAGTAATTCTACCTTCTTATAACTTAGGATCTAAGTACGAAAATATTAGATAGTATCATTGTCTAGTAGTGACATCTTCATTCCATCTGTTGCTTTTTCAGTATTGAAAGATACTTAACGAATAGTTAGTCCATTTAAAATAAGCATATAGAACAGATAATACTATCTGAACCTGTTTGTAGGAGAACATTTAAATAACTATTCGTACTATAATCGCTAGTATTCCATCATGAATTCAAAAGTACATTATAACTTTCAATTTTGCTAGATGAGACAAGTCTGTACGAAACTAAAGATGGACAATGCACATTGGAAACGTATTTATCTATTCAGAAAATATCATTCACCATGCCCTACTGCATTCATGATGGAACACCTTCTATAGAAATTTCTATATATTGAATTGAACTATCTTTTTATTTGTTAATATAAAGATATATTTTTTGTCGTAAAGAAACTTAGAATAAAATATTTTTGATTAATTTTCTTATCTTTTACGTCGAATCTTTAATTCAATTCTTTGTTTTTTTTTGAATGCATCCTATTTAATATCTTATACTTTTACTGTCCCAAAAGCAATATATCGAAGAAAACATAAAACAAGAAATCATTGATGACTGAAGTAAAAATAATACCTTCATTGTATTAGGTCACTCTCGAAAGACACTGCTAATACTTTATTCTTTGTTTTGTGTTTCGTTTTTTCTATTGCTTTCTTTTCTTTGGATATTACAAATCAATCTAAAATATGTCATGCATACAGTAAATGAAAGAAAAGGTGATCGATTAGTGATTCATAGTAACACGTTTCTTCCTTTGTCTTTTCTCTTGATAACGAAGAATAGTATGAAAACAATGAGAGAATCAATATCTTAAATATTTTCGCATCTTTTTTTTTCTTTTCTTATCAATTAAACCAACATATTTGAATTTCATATTATTTTGTTTATCGTTTTCTGTTCTAAGCAATAGGCGACAATAGCAAACGCATCAATCAAGACATCTTTTTCCGTTTAATTCCATTAGCATATATTATTCATTAAATGATAAAAATTTGTCAAGCAATCTCCACTTAACATTAATCTCCAACGAATGTCATCGTTCAACAAGTAAAGATATTGATCGTATTTATTAATATGATTCAGTGAAGAAAAAATATGTGTCGGTGACGTTTGTTTCTTTGGTTTCTTCTATCAATCATCTAACACGTACAACACAAACGATTGTTTATTTTTATAAATTCACTTTTTAAAATTTTTATTAGACTGGTGTACTAGTTTTAAAAAAATCATGTATCATTTTCTTCGTTATCGTTGCATTATTTTACGTTCAATTATTTTTTGGATTGTTATAATAACAATGTTCAAAATAACATCGATATTTTATTATGATTTACAACAACAATCTATTGATAGTAGTTCATCATCATTACCATATGATATTAAAGAAAAAACTAAAAAACTTTCGAACCTATCTCTATTTGCAACAAAAAACGAAATTAAACCTTTAAATTCATCATTAATTATGAATCGTACAACTATCGAGTATTATCGACAATATGTTAAAAGAAAAAATGATGAACAATTTATGTATAATAGTAATTTATTTTCATCAAAAACAACACGTTATATTCTACTTGTACAAGTACATACACGTATTGTTTATTTAAAAAAATTTATTGAAATGTTACAAGCCGTTGAAACAATAAATCAATCTTTAGTTATATTTAGTCATGATTTTATTGATTCTGACATAAATGCACTTGTCACAAACATTACATTTGTTCCGGTAAAATATGTTTAGAGCATCTAGTTTAAGAATAAAACTTTGAAAATAATTTTTCTATCAATGCTAAAGCCCCATTTTGATGGATAATGTGATATTTTCAAGTAGTCAAATTGCTTTTGACTATATTCAAGTCTATAATGTTTTCTATTTAATGCGAATCTCATATTGTTGTTAATCTTACTTATAGGCGCCTCATACATATGAGATATTTATCAATAAAATATCTATTAAATCTAATTAATATTCTAAAAATAGTTCTCTTAGATATTTTCCTAATAGCATTAAGAACTAATTTCGTCCCAAATTAAATTAATACAGTGTAGATATAGGCAAGATGGTTCCGGGATTGGAACCAACGCTTTTTCATTAAGATCGATACCTTTTATATTATTGTGTAAAACTTGCGTC